AGTATAGTTAAAAAATAGTTATAAGTATAGTTTCTTGTAATCTAACAGCTGTACCTCTCATAATATTCAATAAAAACCTAATCAGTATGACTAATAAAATATATATATATATATATATATATATGAATTTTATAATTTTTGATTGTATAATTAAGAATTTAAAATATTTAAAGTTAAAATTTATAATAAAATCATAATAAGTGGATTCAAACTTTTGGAAGCAACTGTATTTTATTTATTTTTTTTCTTGTTATAGATTATAAAAACCAATAAAAAATTAATATTTTTAATTAAATAAATTATTTTATAATTTAAAAATATTTGTTATATAGATTTTTGATTTAATTTTTTTTTATATCTTGCTTTTTTATCAAAGTGTGATAAGCAAAGTCAGTGCATCCAGCAGGTGAGTCATCAGTTACAATTATATTCTGATATTGTTGTATCAAATGTTTGAATTGATTTTGTTATTCCTGGGTTAAATCAGGTAATTTGTCTGGCTTCTTTTTATGATTTTTTTTAATTTATTATCTTGTATAATTTTTTATTATTGATTTTCAGCTATTTATTTGCTTATTTTTTTCTTATATCTTATTTATTAAAAAATTTTTTATTTTTATATTTAAGTCATTGATATATTCTTGCTAAATTGTTTATTAATAACTTAGGCTCATTGATATTTCTATATATATTGATTGATTTGATTGATTTTTAAATATTTCATGAGATTATTTCTCTATTTGCTTCTTCTATAAATTTTATTTATCACTGACTGTACTTGTTTTTTTATATGTAATTTCAGTATAATCTAGCTTTTTGGTACTACTTTTCTATTTCATGAGAAATGTTATTATTTTTAATAATATAGTAGGCCAACAAGCAATTCCTCTATTACACAAATAAAAACTCACAAAGGCAGGGGCATAAAAGATTTTGGTGAGTTTTAAGTAGTTTTTCTAAACTACTTATAACCACACTGTTATAATTTCTTCAAAAGATTTGAAGAAATTACATTTTATATTTTTTTACACATAAGGTCATTACATAATAACTATGGATATTCTAGTATTATGTCATGCATAAATTACTTTATGGTCAGCATTACTTTAGCTCATAGTATTTTACCTTTTTGTCGCGAATGGATTGTTCGCGTATTCTTCAATCTATCGTGTCACGATCGTCAATCACGTGACAACGGCAAAAAATTTTGACTTCTTTGGCCTTTAAAAATAGGATTATTTGTGAATCCTTTGCATATTATTTTTATTACCTTTTGCCAAAAAATTTTCATTGCAGTTGGGTCGCCTCTGAGTATATTGACTTCTCAGAGATCTAGAACTCATTTTTCAATTTACCTTTTCTCTTTTATTTTTATGAAAAAAATATAGAGCTTAAATTCTCTAACTAAAATTCACAAAACTTTCACAGTATTCAGATTTAATTGTGTAGATTATATAATTTAATATGTAAAAGAGATCTAATTAGTAAATTAAAAAGTTTATTACAGTATGTAACAGCTTTTTAAGTTCGGATTTTTCGAAACTCCGAGTAAACCGGACCCGGAAAATTTTTTATGACCGTAACTATTATTCTTCGGCTCTTACGAATCTAGATGTTAACCCTTTTTATTGGATCAATATCTGGTTATTATTATGAACATTCCTCGGATGCAATTTCGAGTTACCGTATTTGCAAGCGGTTGTTATTTTTCATGGTGTGAATAAGACGGATACTCTCATATTTTATAATTCACTGAAGTGGTTATACCCCACCTATTAAAATTTATAGTAAGGTGAATACTCTTAGGCGCATGTCATGTCTATCAATGTATCTACAAATCATAGTTGGCTTATGTGCTCTCAACTTTTGCTTTGTGTGCAAATCGGGTCATTTTTATGACATAGAATTCAAGTTTTTATCTGAATTGGTGCGCAGATTTGTCTGTCATAGAACTTGTTCCCAATATTAATTAAGTAATGCGTGAATCGATTTTTTTTTTTTAAAAAAAAAAAAAGTTTTCATAAAGTGTTTGTGGGTAGAATATTGAATTTTCTCAGAATTCCGAAATGAAGGTACCGTAAAATTTGTATCTAACAGGCACAAACACAAAAAAGATTTATTACTGCTATTATAACCGATTTAAGTACATATGAATGCACAGACTGCTCAATTATTCCCACCTACCACAAAATACGTATCATTGATGGCTATAATAATAATAAAGTACATACTCTATGATACAACTTTTAAACTACAGTATAATCATGCGTATCGAGTATATGCCTGCATATTTGCTGGAGGTGTTGAATAGTATGTTTGCTGATTTTGCATATAAGGAGCATTCGAGGCTACGAATATGTTTCCTTGATTAGCCATTTGAATATTATTCTTCGTATTTTGTTTACCAGCGCCTTTCTTTTCTTCCCTAGCCATGCCTTCTAAATATTCGGCATCTACTACATATTCTTGTAAAAACGTTTCTAATGCATTAACACGGTCTCTCAATTGCTGAACCAACATGCTTTGATCATTGGTATTCCCTAAGAGGTTTTCTGACTCGTGATTTACGAGCGGTATGATAGGCAACGTAGACTTTAATTTATTACGTGTCTTGGTTTTAAAGCAGCAACATTGTTGTACACAACCAAATGGGTTTAGAAGGTCATCACCTGCAATAATTGTATAAAAGAAAAAGTAAATAAAATGAAAATAATAAAAAAACAGTTATTTAAGAAAAAAAATTTTTTTTTTTAATATTTCATACCAAATAATGCATTATATATAATTGCACATATAGACCATGCACCGCCTATTGTACCTAATTGTGAAATTATCTAAAGAACGTATTGTATTATAAGTTTTATATATAAGTTAAGTTGCGGAGTAGCAAAGAGACTTACAGTTCGACTCCTAGATTAAAGACAGTGGATTTTTAGAAAATGATTTAAAATACTTGTTCGCCATTTATAAATACAGAATATAAAACTGACCTTTGTTCTGTGTCTGTGTTAACAATAAAATTTCGTGGCATGAGGAGCGCACCGGCTATATAAGCCTGGGTTACATTGATAGAATTAATAGGAACTCCCTCTAGATATACGTATATAGATAAAATTAGAATATTTGTTGTGTGAGGTAAAATAATTGAATCAATCACATACGCGAGCTTATTGTAATGTAAGGTACAGTGTCTAATTCTGGATTAATCCCCAGTATATCGGTAAATTTAGGCACAATTGCTTGCCGAATGCTTCGTGTAAACGAAATACTAGTTATCTACGTATGTACATATCGAAATTACTATAAAATAGAAACACAAATAATTAACTAAAAAATTATTATTTGTTTGATAATACCTGTCCATTCACCATTATAAGGCTATTACTTAACACAAGTTCTCGTTCATTAACCGGAAGGGAATCTAACATTGCTTGAGTAAGTTGACCGGCATATTGCACGTTAATAGGATTCTTTTCTAAAATTAGATTTTTTTATTAACGTACTTTCACTATTAAATCTGATAGCTGCTCGAATAAATAATAAATACCGGAGTCAATGACAATTATTGTCATTAAGTTAGTATAGCCACTAGGTAACGGATCAACAGTGGATGCAATAAACCCGACAGACGTGAGGTTTTGACTATTGAATATAAAACTGAGCTCCGATTTTGCAGAAAATGAACCATAATATGTTCCATTTGACAATGTTGGCTGATTAAGATATTGAGAGCATGGAACTAATGATTGGCCTTCGTTATCTATTAGTTATTAGAAAATATTCATTAATTGTTTGTTGATTTGCACATTAATTAAAAATTTCACACTTACTATAGAATGCACAAGTTAATTTAAAATTTAGATTGAAATTAAAGACAACATCTAAAGATATATTTTTAAATCACATTAGAATAATTCAATGTTTATATTACAGTATGCCATTTTTCTTTATTCCTACCAGGAATAGGAATAGAGTTCACGTCATCTAATATAATACAAAAATCAGTTGTTGCTTTGTACAAGAATATGTCAGAATTAATAAACACGTACCTATCGAGTTTTTGGTTATTGGAAGATCGTTTGCAATCTCTATGACTAATGACGTAATATATCCCGTTAGTGCAGCTATTAACGTGATCGTTACGAAAGCTCTTAGAAATAAGACTTCTATCGGTTCGGTTTTTCGATATCTAGTGAATAAGTCCAACAAGTTCATCTTGTTTTTGCAATATTAATTAGAATTATTTCGTGCGTAATTAATGCATATTTATATAAAAATCGAAATTTTTATTTTTGTGAACAACAAAGAAATCTGTTCTGTAGCACTTGAAACATATAATGCGGACACCTATCATTTCTGAAAAGTTGGTAGCACAATCAATTATTGTGAGATACGTAATTAATTTGATTACCAAATTCATGTATTTCACAATCGACGATCGAGCTTCTGTTTTCCGAAATTAATTTTCCCAGAATGTCTTTGTGTAGCACGCGTGTGCGGAATAGCCGAATAGACCTTGTTTTACTTTATTCAAAGTGGAATTCGATTTTTGTTTATACGATGTTTAGTAAAGATGAAAATTATATTTATAAATTTTGTTCCCAAATACAGTATTTTCCAATCGCTGTTGTCAATAACGAAGTTGTCACACATACAGTATATTCCTTTAACGAAACCAGGATGTTTCGAAATGAATTCACATACTGTATCTTGTGAAATTAATCGAATCGATAATGTAACAGTATTCACGTGCTTCACTAATTTGATATGTTTTGTAAAGAAAAAAAAAAAGAGGCATTAGAAAAAAGCAATTAATTACTGCACTAATTAAATTGCAAACATCAAATTTATTAATAAAAAATGTAATCAATTATGTTGATTAAATATATATTTGTTAAACTGTCATAAATCATTAATATTAATTTTTTTTTTAATTTTAATTTTATAATTATTTCGAAATTTCTTTTATTAATACTGTATATTATTATAGAATAAAATATAAATCAATTGTTTAATTAATTATACACTATATAGAAAGTAACGATTAAAAATTTTAAAATAATTATATTGAACTTAATCGAAATATGATGATTATTTTTTTATTTTATTTTTAACCTACAATTATGTTATCATGTCATGTCTTTTATTAAGATATTAAATAAACATCTGCGATGTTATTAACTCATTTTGTACATTATTAATTAAAAATTTACTCTACTTAAAAAATATAAGAAATTCACTAAGCTAGTTTGGATTAAACAAAACAAAGTCTCAACTAGATACTTCAAGTCTAATTTATCTCACTCTCCTAATAAATTGATACTAGAATTTCTATCTATCAAGATTATAATCTATAGTTATTTACTATAAATTATCTTGAAAAATAATAATTGTAAAATTAATATATTGAAAAAAAAGAATATAAAATAAATTAATTTAAGTCTCTTCAAAAATTTTTTATTCAAGTTAACAATTTTCTCAAAAAAAAATTAGTCTAGTTAGAATTTTTTCTAGCTTTGAACTATTCAAGAAACTTATTTATTAATTACTGAAACTACATATTATCTAAGAAACTTATTACTTGAGTTTTTAAAATAGAAAATTTTATTATAAATTTTTTATTAATAAAATTTGAACTAATAAATTAACTAGAATAACAATACTAATAATATTTAATATTTCTAATTGAGATAAAAACTTGAAAACCATAAATTATAAATTCTTTCTCACTTCTCACTATTTCATGAAAATTTCCTTTTTAGAAAGTTTTCTTTTTTCCCCCTTCCCCCTTCTTTACTCTATATGAGACTACCAACTATGCAACAGATAAAATCTGAGTTGTACTGACACCATACGAGGCTCTGTTATCTGACTTGTTAATGTATAGAAAATATTACATCTAGGAAAGCATGAGTGGACCTGAACTCTACACATGGCAAATGTTTGGAACAAAAGAAATTGTTCTTTGGGTGAGACACTCCTGAAGCAAGGCTTTGTGTATATCTGAGTTATCATAAACAAGAATACTTTTATTTCTTCTATTTTTTTCCTATGTTCTTAACCTTTTCCACCTGTTCGTTTTTCCCCCATTTACTCTTATCTCTTCATTTTACATCTATCCTGCTGATGGATAACTTTTTCCTTTTCCAAGGTTTTCTTTCTAGACTTCTCACTCCTTCTTTCACTGAACCATATTATTAACCCTATGGTATATCAAGACTTTTCCCTGATTAAGACAGTGGGCTTAAAACATAAAAAAGATTAAAACAAGACTTCTTATGATTGAAAGGTGAATCTGTAATAAGGAAGATCACATTTTCAAAATTCTAGATGTATTTTTCTATAATCACTAACTACTTTACAAAGCCATATGAATGGACAAGAGGTAGTAACAGCAAAAATTTCATTTGGCAGCATCAAAAGTATAAGGTTTTACTTGCTGAGGGTCTAGACTGCCATTATGTTGATCAGAAGTAAATAGCTAGATGAAAGCTTTTGCTTTGAATACTTGATAATACCACCATCATTCAACTCAAGAGATATAACAATAGGACATCCTCTTGTTTTAACTTCTTCCCAAGATCCTACCAAAAACCATGATCAGCTTACCTCCTCCAAAAGATCAGCACAGAATAATTATGTCTTATTAGGTTCATGGTCTTTAGTAAGGAAAGACCCGCGGCCTATATCCTGACTCAATTGGTTTCCAAGCTTAGTATAACAAAAACCTGATTTTCCTATCCAAACCATTATACACATCATCATAATATCCCAGTGAGCATTCTTACAAGTCAATAATAAACTAGTAGCTAGATATTATTTATTTTTTTCTTTTTCTCTACATGAGTTTTTAGAGTTTGTAAGGGTCTATTTATGTGTGTAGCTATAATTATTCATGTAATAATTAATAATGTTGATTAATAACTTAATTGTTGAATAAAGTTATACAATAAATGCTATTTGCAAAAAAAAAAAAAAAGATAAAAACCTAAAAACCTTAATTTTTTATTAGTAGTCTTTTTATCACTTAAAAATTTATTAAAAAATAAAAGTACTATATTATTATTATTTTTTTTAATTAACCCACAATCATGTTGAGTTTATCTATAGTATGAGTGATGCAATAATCACAGCAATGTAATTTGCGAAATTATTATATTTTACTATTAATTGATCAGTGCATGTAATAGTATTGAATGTCACTTTGTAATTGGTATATGATTTGTAGCAATATATAAGTTAAAGTTGATATATGAAATTCAGAGACTCATAACTCTGCAAATATTAGTCTGATTCAAATAATTTTGAGTAATTAGATAGGTCAAGACTTGAGCTTTCAAATGAATATAAAGTTATCTTAATAAAAGTCTTATAGATAATATTAATCATTAAAAAATTAAAAGTGTAAATTATTAGTCATATATTTTCATATAATTGATCTAGGATATAAGGTTAACTTGAGAATATTAAACCATCGTGATAATTTCTGAGCAAGATTTAGTTTAAATTATTATTTGAAGATTTGAAATTTTAGAAATTTTCTATATAGGGTAAAGATATTATCTTTATTATAATACTATTAAACTATGATTTTCAATTTTAGATAAATATAACATTTCTTAAAATATTTATACATTTTAAATTAATAAAATTGTTGTATTTTGTTATAACTGAGATTTATTTTGATTATATGATTAGATTATAAGATCTATTACAAGAATTTTTTTTTTTTTTTTTAAGTGTTAAACTGCAATTGGTATTAGATACAAGACTTTATTTGGCAATTTAATTCTACTGTTATTATATCAAACATCTCTACATATGCAGATTAATACTAATCTATTGCAGCAATCCTAGCTAGACCTACTACCACTTAGAAAGTAGACACATCTAGCTAGTGGTCAGATAATTAATATATAGTCATAAACAGTAATTCTTAGGCTAGTTAGTATGGAGCTAATATGACTATTTTTAATTGTATACACTAAATTAGACCTATTAGATATACCTGATGGAATGTATACACCATTCAATATTCTCAGATATTATTTGCTCAGACCTTAGAAGGAAGCATGTTGCCTTCTTTGTCACCACCTGTGACATTGAATCAGTCCCTATTAACTGATTTTCAATTAAGCAGAGCATCAGATTGGGATATCTTGAGCTAGGAGAGCGGGGGTTTTGGAGGCTATCAGGGCAGAGTAAGCTGGGAACTTTATGTGAAAGGTTAGACCAGAAGTCTTACTTTATGCAATCCTTCCGGTAGTATGATCTTAAGTTTTAGCTCCTGATTAACGGAAGGCCAGAAGTCCCATATTCATGCAGCCTAACCTATTTTAAGCGGGTTCCAGATGATTGGGTATGACTTTCACAGAATAACTGGTAAACCTGATCAGAAGGATAATTTTGATTTTTGGTCCTTAAGTGATATTGAACTGCAGACCTTGTGATTGCGACCTGGGAGCACTACCACTGTACTATTGATCTATAGATCAGTATTACAAGAATTTTATGTTTTTTGTTTATATATTTATATATATAATTTCAAGATTCAAACCAATAAAGTTTAAGATTAATTAAACTTTTTCTTATAAATATACCAAAAAAAAATAATTATACAGATAAACCTAAAAAATTAATTAAACAATCAAATTTTTAAATTTTTATTAATAGGTCTTTTATTAAACTATTTTTCAAATTATTTTGAAAAATTCCTTTTATTAAAATTAAAAGATTATTATAAGTTAATAATAATAATAATGAGAATTAATCTGAACCATTAGAGAAAATATCTAAAAATAAATCAATATTATTCATTTTTAATAATAAATTTCAAAATATGGGAAATTTGATTCTCAATCTTGCTGAGTTTTAAATTCTTAGATTATTATATTTTTATTTTTTTTCAGAAGAAATATTGTATTAAAATTACTACTATCTTGAAAAAAAATCTTAAAGCATTAGATATATTTATATTTGCAACATAAAATACTTTAATATATTTAGATCTTATTGTTTCATGGTAGATGAGACTTGAGATTAATAATTTATCTAAAATAATATACTGTATATTGATTACTCTATTCTTCTTATTAAACCCAAAAAGAAATTTTATAATAATAAAAAGAAATCTGATAAAAATTATTAAAAAAGATTGAAAGAATATGAAAGGAAAAGATCAAAGTGGCAAGACTCTAATGAAATTTTATATTTTA